GAAAGAAAGAAAGAAAGAAAATTGATTGTCCTGAAGGCTAAGCTCTACCACAAACAGTGCTATGCTGAGAAAATAGAAATTAAGAAGACTATCAAGATGCATGAAAAGAGAAACGCCAAACAAGAGAATGATGAAAAGACTCCACAAGGAGCAGTACCTGCCTACCTGCTGGACAGAGGACAGTCTTGCTCAAAAGTACTTTCCAACATGATTAAACAAAAACGAGAAGAAAAGATGAAAAAATGGGATGTTTCTCTGCCCAAAGTTCATGCCTAAGAAGAAACATAAGTACTAAAAGTTATTTGAAGAGGAAAGAGAAAAAAAGAAGGCATGAAAGAAGATGGCTGCTAAAGACTGCTTTGTTGGAGATGGCTTTATAAGAAAACCATCTAAACATGGAAGATTCATTAGGCCAATGGACTTACATTTTATGAAGGCCCATGTAACGCCTCCTGAACTGAAAGCCACCTTTGCCTGCCAATATTTGGTGTGAAAAAGAACTCTTCATCGCCTCTGTATACAACTTTGGGTGTTATTACCAAAGGAACAGTGATTGAGGTGAATGTGAGAGAGTTGTGCTTTGTGACACAAAGAGGCAAGGTTATCTGGGGTAAATATGTCCAGGTAACCAACAATCCTAAAAATGATGGATGCATCAATACAGTTTTACTACTTTAAAAGATATTTCATACAGTAACTTCTTAGATTTATTGAAGATGAGAGACCAATCAGGAAAAACATAAGTTGAACACTGCTGAACAGCTCTCATGACTACATTCATCAAGAACAATATTTATTAAATTGCAAAAACATTAAAATGGCCCAGTTTTACAAATTGGTCTTTTATTAGGGGTCTGCTAAGGGCTTATGTGTTAGTGAGATTGAACCATTTGAAAAAGTAAACATAAGTCTTTGCATTAAAGAATGTGTACTCAGCCACACAGATCTCTCATTCCTAAAAAGCTACCAGTATTTAAAGTCATAATTTAGGGACCTAAAGCTATGAAATCAGCTGAAGCTATTCTACCTCATCATTTATTAGTCCTAAAAAAAGTAATGCTTAAATTTATTCTCAATATAATCTACTTTAAGAATGGCATTAGAAATGTATTTAGATAATTCCACCTTGGTTGCACTGATGCCTTGAAGAGAAACTTTATTCGCATTTAAATAATATAAGAAGGTTCTGTTAAGTGTTCATCTCAAGTTTTGTGATCAGAATTAAATGGTGATTGCTTTAAAAAAAATAAAGTCTTAAATAATTAAAAAGGAACATTGCAGAGGAGCTTCATATTTTAAAAAATTTTGCCTTCAAAGTTTACTATGTTAAATCCTACATCATATGTAATATGAAACCTAGAAAGTACCACTACAAATTAAGATAAAAACACATCACTAAGTACTTTGTTCTTTTCAGAACAAAGATAATGTTCTGAAATTACACATAAATACCTCCATTCAAACTTTTGTGATATTGAGTATCATCTTTGGGCAAACTCACTAATACTATAATTATTGTTCAATAGAACAACTATCATACCACTAAAAAATCACAAAACATATACATTTAGCATTTACAGATAAAGAAAAACATTATGAAGCTGGAATTAGCAGTATAACTGAAAATAAAACCTTTTAAAACACCCATGGATATTAAATGCGGACATCGATCATTAAATTTTGAAAGATTTCCTTGAGTAATTAACTCATCTGCACTATTTGTTTATCACACTATTCAGTCAGTGACGTATTTGCTGTTAGTCTCATAGCCAGTGCAAGATGTGCACTGAGCAAAGCAGACAATTCTCTTGTCACTTAAAAATTTCTGGGAGCTGGGGAGATAGCTCAGTAGAATAAGTGCTTGCCTGGCAAGTACAAGGTCCTGAGTTCATTCCCTGGTACCACCATAAAAATAAAAATTAAAATTAAAAATTTTTTTAAAAAGTTCTGAATCTCTAATCAAATTTTGTTGATCAGATCAATTCATGAGTCAAAATGGCTATGTACATATCAATGCATTCTGACGTAACTTTGATTTTTAAACTTTCTCAACAGTTAAAGTTATTTACAAATGCACATATATATGTCAGCATATGTATTTCATTTAGAAAAAAGTCAAGACTTTAAGGGTAAAAGTCTCCTGCATTTCATAATCCCATAACTCATCATATTTACTGGACAGAATCTTTGCAATACAATGCAGACTCCTAAATCAGTTGATATATACAACTGATATATGTATTTTTCATATATATGATGTGATTGATATAGATGATGTGATATATGTGATGCAATATATACGATGTGATATATATGTGAGTGTATATATATATATGTATATATATGCATATAAATTTGATATCTGATCTTTGTGTTCTGTTCAAATAGTGAAGATACAAAAGGGCTATCGCAATTGCTACTACAAAGTCAAACTCATTAATCATGAGAAAAATAAAACTTAAGACAATCTGTATTTGGAGAATAGTTAAAATGAAAATGAAGAGATATTATGAGGACACAATCAGCAAGGAGAACCAGGGCAGAGTCCTTGACAAGAAAAGCACAGCTTTCCAGGACAAAGGCAGAGGCCCTGATACAAAAGCCTGGGTAGAAACAGGAACTACTCCTCCATCTCACAGCAATCTCTGTTCAGACACATCTTCACTGTTCCTTCTCAGGTAGAGGTGACCAGCTTCTTTTATTCTATCCAATCCCCACCTCAGGTACTGGATGTCTTGGCCCTCACCCTCTTAGTGGCAGCCAACCACTCAGACTTTGAACATCTGCCCCTGGATCAACTCCCTACAACTTCTTAATTTGGTGAAAGGATGCAGGAACTAACCCTTGCCTCCACTTCTCTTTCCTGCTTTCCCACTGCAGCCTGTTTACTCTGCCTAATCCCTTTCCTCCATTTCTTCTTCAGTGCATCACAGTTGGGCTGCTCTCCTACAGATCCGTGGGCTCCAATCTCAGTCCTGCCAACCAGAACACTCATGCAGACAACTTCCCTTTGGAAGTTGTGCTGAGTTTTAAATTATGTCCAAAATATATTTTAATATATAACAGGGAGCTAAAATTGCTTCACTATTTATTAACTGCCTGGAAGAGTATGAGGTAAATGAAGACTATGATCCCTACCAACTCTCAGAATAAAATTCATGCTACTCAGCAGAGCAAAAAGCCTTCTGCAACCTCACTAAAGCCCACATCCTCCACTGCAATTGATCACCCCACACCCACCAGGCAGTCTCCCCTCAATAGTGTGTTCTTGTCTGAACTGTACCCTGGTACACATCCATCCAGTTTGGCTTGTGCTAGCCACTGCAGAGTGTTCCCTACCTCTTTTGTCAACTCAATCATTTCTCCTCCTCCATAAATTCTCAGATCAGAAGCCACCTGTACAGGACACCTTTTCTGGTCTACTACTAACTCCCAGACAAACTGCATAAGCTACTATTTTTGTCCTCTTATGATGTTAGTTTTGGTTTCTCTGCTACAGATGCCACTTTGTGCTGTGCCAAGATATCGATGTGGATCTCCCCAAAAGGGGATAACTTCTCTGATAATAGGGATTATCTTTTAATACTTTCTCAAGATGGGAAATTAACACTTCCACCATTGTTTCTTCTGGCCTCAAGAGGGACTCTCTTCAGCCCATGTTGTATGTGTACACAAAATGCTAGAAATAAGGGACTAGCCCTATGGTTTCCTATCCATTTTTTCTCTACCACCTTCCCTTTGTGCCTTGGGCTTCTGATATTTCCATGGTGACCAACAGTCATAGAACACAGATTGTGAGCTCCTTAGACTGTGTTGGAACACAGATTGTGAGCTCCTTAGACTGTTAGCCACGAAGTCTTGGATGGTGAAGTCTCTATCACATCTCCTCTTTACTCTTGAAGATTTGCAGCAAATTTCACTCCCATATCTTCCTGAAGACACTCCTCTCCAGCCCTGAAGTTCCCTGTGCTGACCATTACTCTCATATTGGCTTTTCAAGCCAATGGCATCCTCATCACCTAGAAGCAACTCTGCCGATAGTGACTCTGACATGGATTCAGTGCTTAACATCTCGGTCCTCTTCAGTCCCACCAAAGAAAACATATCCTTGCAGGAAAAAATTCCTGAGGACACAATCTCAACTGGGATTTCTTCAGAAAACCTCCTCCCGCCTATCCAAGGTAAAGGGGGACTAGAAAGCACAAGCACATGTTTAAGTCAACAAAATCTAGTGCAGGACAACTCAGAGCAGATCTGTCAATTAGATATTGTCATGTCCTGGGACAATAATGACAATTTTAATGAGACAATATCTCTTGAAAACCTCAGTGGAGGTGAGGGCTTGCTGAACCGGTGTCCTAAAGATCAGTCAGTACTTACTGAGGAAAAACTAGATGATCCAGTGAAAGTACTTGAAACATTCGAGGAAGTCCATGAAGACAAACAAGAATATAAGACAGATGACAATAAAAATCAAAACTGTGACATTGAAAATGATAAGGAAAATAGGAGAAATAACAAAAATGATGATTCTGACTATACTGAGCTTATTCCAGCAGAAGATGTCAAACCGTACAGCAGTTCTGAAACACTCATGCCTCAGGTTAGTGGCCAAGAATGTGATGTGGGCCAAGGCCTCATCAAAAATCAGCAGAAAAATGAAGATGTCCAGGCCCCAGAAATTGTCCCAATGCCTACAGGACAGGAACTTGCTGAGGACATGGGAGGCGAGGTGATTGGCAACCCAAACACATGCACTGCAAACACCTGCACAGGCATCTCAGAACAACAGGAGGAGGATGAGCAGACCACTAGCTGTCTGAGTGTGGGCCAGCTCTTCCGTTGGCTGAGAAAGAGAATCCTTCTGACTCTCCAGAGAAAACAAGACCCAGACGAGGTTACCGAGGGCCACAAGAGGCACATCCAAAGACGATTTTTCAGAAGGAGTTACAAGATCCAACCAGAAGAACAACTTGAAAATTAAGGACTTAGAAAACATTTTCTAGCCCTTCTGCTTAAGCAAACCCATAGGGATACTATTTCTCTTTAAGATAAATGTTTATTGTGAATTATTTCGAAAGGTATATAATAA